CGAGCGTTGCTGTTGCTGTTGCTCGGTCTTGTCAAATTGTAATCCGTTGCGCGAGCGTTGCTGTTGCTGTTGCTCGGTCTTGTCAAATTGTAATCCGTTGCGCGAGCGTTGCTGTTGCTGTTGCTCGGTCTTGTCAAATTGTAATCCGTTGCGCGAGCGTTGCTGTTGCTGTTGCTCGGTCTTGTCAAATTGTAATCCGTTGCGCGAGCGTTGCTGTTGCTGTTGCTCGGTCTTGTCAAATTGTAATCCGTTGCGCGAGCGTTGCTGTTGCTGTTGCTCGGTCTTGTCAAATTGTAATCCGTTGCGCGAGCGTTGCTGTTGCTGTTGCTCGGTCTTGTCAAATTGTAATCCGTTGCGCGAGCGTTGCTGTTGCTGTTGCTCGGTCTTGTCAAATTGTAATCCGTTGCGCGAGCGTTGCTGTTGCTGTTGCTCGGTCTTGTCAAATTGTAATCCGTTGCGCGAGCGTTGCTGTTGCTGTTGCTCGGTCTTGTCAAATTGTAATCCGTTGCGCGAGCGTTGCTGTTGCTGTTGCTCGGTCTTGTCAAATTGTAATCCGTTGCGCGAGCGTTGCTGTTGCTGTTGCTCGGTCTTGTCAAATTGTAATCCGTTGCGCGAGCGTTGCTGTTGCTGTTGCTCGGTCTTGTCAAATTGTAATCCGTTGCGCGAGCGTTGCTGTTGCTGTTGCTCGGTCTTGTCAAATTGTAATCCGTTGCGCGAGCGTTGCTGTTGCTGTTGCTCGGTCTTGTCAAATTGTAATCCGTTGCGCGAGCGTTGCTGTTGCTCGGTCTTGTCAAATTGTAATCCGTTGCGCGAGCGTTGCTGTTGCTCGGTCTTGTCAAATTGTAATCCGTTGCGCGAGCGTTGCTGTTGCTCGGTCTTGTCAAATTGTAATCCGTTGCGCGAGCGTTGCTGTTGCTCGGTCTTGTCAAATTGTAATCCGTTGCGCGAGCGTTGCTGTTGCTCGGTCTTGTCAAATTGTAATCCGTTGCGCGAGCGTTGCTGTTGCTCGGTCTTGTCAAATTGTAATCCGTTGCGCGAGCGTTGCTGTTGCTCGGTCTTGTCAAATTGTAATCCGTTGCGCGAGCGTTGCTGTTGCTCGGTCTTGTCAAATTGTAATCCGTTGCGCGAGCGTTGCTGTTGCTGTTGCTCGGTCTTGTCAAATTGTAATCCGTTGCGCGAGCGTTGCTGTTGCTGTTGCTCGGTCTTGTCAAATTGTAATCCGTTGCGCGAGCGTTGCTGTTGCTCGGTCTTGTCAAATTGTAATCCGTTGCGCGAGCGTTGCTGTTGCTCGGTCTTGTCAAATTGTAATCCGTTGCGCGAGCGTTGCTGTTGCTGTTGCTCGGTCTTGTCAAATTGTAATCCGTTGCGCGAGCGTTGCTGTTGCTGTTGCTCGGTCTTGTCAAATTGTAATCCGTTGCGCGAGCGTTGCTGTTGCTCGGTCTTGTCAAATTGTAATCCGTTGCGCGAGCGTTGCTGTTGCTCGGTCTTGTCAAATTGTAATCCGTTGCGCGAGCGTTGCTGTTGCTGTTGCTCGGTCTTGTCAAATTGTAATCCGTTGCGCGAGCGTTGCTGTTGCTGTTGCTCGGTCTTGTCAAATTGTAATCCGTTGCGCGAGCGTTGCTGTTGCTGTTGCTCGGTCTTGTCAAATTGTAATCCGTTGCGCGAGCGTTGCTGTTGCTGTTGCTCGGTCTTGTCAAATTGTAATCCGTTGCGCGAGCGTTGCTGTTGCTGTTGCTCGGTCTTGTCAAATTGTAATCCGTTGCGCGAGCGTTGCTGTTGCTGTTGCTCGGTCTTGTCAAATTGTAATCCGTTGCGCGAGCGTTGCTGTTGCTGTTGCTCGGTCTTGTCAAATTGTAATCCGTTGCGCGAGCGTTGCTGTTGCTGTTGCTCGGTCTTGTCAAATTGTAATCCGTTGCGCGAGCGTTGCTGTTGCTGTTGCTCGGTCTTGTCAAATTGTAATCCGTTGCGCGAGCGTTGCTGTTGCTGTTGCTCGGTCTTGTCAAATTGTAATCCGTTGCGCGAGCGTTGCTGTTGCTGTTGCTCGGTCTTGTCAAATTGTAATCCGTTGCGCGAGCGTTGCTGTTGCTGTTGCTCGGTCTTGTCAAATTGTAATCCGTTGCGCGAGCGTTGCTGTTGCTGTTGCTCGGTCTTGTCAAATTGTAATCCGTTGCGCGAGCGTTGCTGTTGCTGTTGCTCGGTCTTGTCAAATTGTAATCCGTTGCGCGAGCGTTGCTGTTGCTGTTGCTCGGTCTTGTCAAATTGTAATCCGTTGCGCGAGCGTTGCTGTTGCTCGGTCTTGTCAAATTGTAATCCGTTGCGCGAGCGTTGCTGTTGCTCGGTCTTGTCAAATTGTAATCCGTTGCGCGAGCGTTGCTGTTGCTGTTGCTCGGTCTTGTCAAATTGTAATCCGTTGCGCGAGCGTTGCTGTTGCTGTTGCTCGGTCTTGTCAAATTGTAATCCGTTGCGCGAGCGTTGCTGTTGCTGTTGCTCGGTCTTGTCAAATTGTAATCCGTTGCGCGAGCGTTGCTGTTGCTGTTGCTCGGTCTTGTCAAATTGTAATCCGTTGCGCGAGCGTTGCTGTTGCTGTTGCTCGGTCTTGTCAAATTGTAATCCGTTGCGCGAGCGTTGCTGTTGCTGTTGCTCGGTCTTGTCAAATTGTAATCCGTTGCGCGAGCGTTGCTGTTGCTGTTGCTCGGTCTTGTCAAATTGTAATCCGTTGCGCGAGCGTTGCTGTTGCTGTTGCTCGGTCTTGTCAAATTGTAATCCGTTGCGCGAGCGTTGCTGTTGCTGTTGCTCGGTCTTGTCAAATTGTAATCCGTTGCGCGAGCGTTGCTGTTGCTGTTGCTCGGTCTTGTCAAATTGTAATCCGTTGCGCGAGCGTTGCTGTTGCTGTTGCTCGGTCTTGTCAAATTGTAATCCGTTGCGCGAGCGTTGCTGTTGCTGTTGCTCGGTCTTGTCAAATTGTAATCCGTTGCGCGAGCGTTGCTGTTGCTGTTGCTCGGTCTTGTCAAATTGTAATCCGTTGCGCGAGCGTTGCTGTTGCTGTTGCTCGGTCTTGTCAAATTGTAATCCGTTGCGCGAGCGTTGCTGTTGCTGTTGCTCGGTCTTGTCAAATTGTAATCCGTTGCGCGAGCGTTGCTGTTGCTGTTGCTCGGTCTTGTCAAATTGTAATCCGTTGCGCGAGCGTTGCTGTTGCTGTTGCTCGGTCTTGTCAAATTGTAATCCGTTGCGCGAGCGTTGCTGTTGCTGTTGCTCGGTCTTGTCAAATTGTAATCCGTTGCGCGAGCGTTGCTGTTGCTGTTGCTCGGTCTTGTCAAATTGTAATCCGTTGCGCGAGCGTTGCTGTTGCTCGGTCTTGTCAATGCGAAGTGTTTCTTATATCGTGTTTCTTATATATTCGTTGCGAAGTGTTCTGTTATCCATACCTTATCCCATAAGTCGCGTCGGGAAGTTCTAAACGCATTTTTCTAGAATGACATTTTGGCATACCATTTTATAGAAATTTTCTTTAGCAAGAATTCAGTGGATGGTAGCTTTGTCTTTAAACCCATAGCTAGTTGCCAGTGTTGTGGCTGGGATAGCTCAATCTTCGGCAGCGTATTGCGGAATCTTTTGAAGTGTTTCCATTTGATATTATTTATTTTGCATGTTTATTCAATTTAGCTCCGAGATCGAAAAATGAAGTAGTTTTCGCATTGGTGGGCATGTTTCTAACGAGCCAAAGCCTCTGTAACCAATCGCAGGTTTTTTTTGGTTTGTCCAGCCGAGCAAGGTACTCGTGGTGTCCTTGGACACCACGAGTACCTTGCTCGATACCTTCGAGGACTTTTTTTAAGCAATGGTAGTTACAGGCCGCGTGCTGTGTCGCATGCGACATATCCGTGTGACGTCCTACGAAGGCGCAGAATAAGTGGCTAGGACTTATGTCAAATATTTGCTCAGAATGAGACATGAGGTACATTATCTATTTACCTATTCTTCCTTTGACGTGCGATTGCTTTGTTGGAAATTATCCACCGCCGGTAGTTTTTCATTTCTAACAAAATTAAATGGAATTGATTTGACAACAGATATCCTTAGCTTTCGAACGTCATCGCCCTTCGTCCAATCAGCAAACTTCGTTTCGGAATCGTCACAGTCGTTGATGTGTGGCGTAGCCGTGGCGCTTTTATGGTAAAGTGGAAATCATTTCGTCTGTTTCAGTCATTTAAGGACGTATGTCTCAACTTTTTTTCGATTTTTTTTCGAAAATGTCCTTTTTCAGAAATGGCTGCTGATTTCCCCTTATTGGACTCCTCGGAAAGCATGTGCGCACAGTTCGTGATCTTTTTTTTTTTTTTTTTCGTATCGGAAGTTGTAGTTCGGGCATCCAATATTTTAAGTTGGCTTTTTGTCCTTGACGATATGCCGTTATGCTAGCGTAAATGAACTTTCTCGCTTGTTATATGGCTAGCTAGTTGAAGCTGTAGCTTCCTCATCGTTTCACCATAGGTTGCAGTTAATGCCATGTGTTCGTCTATCGCAGTCTGTTGCATTATCGAGCCTGCTGACGCTTCTGGTCTAAAATTTTGGGATTTTTACGTCCGGTGCTGCCTTTGAAGCAATTCTTTAAAGAATTGCTTCGAACGCTGGGGCACTTCCAGCACGAGGCAAAGTGAGTCTTCGCCAGATCTCGAACCTAGACACTCTAGTAAAAGTTTAATAAGCAAACACTGCACCATCAGGGAACTTCGCTTCCGAATTGTCGCAGTCGTTGAGGTATGTGTATAGCCGTGGTTCTTTTATGGTTAGACGTGGGTTTCAGATGCCTCATAGCCGTGACAACTACGGTGTTTCAGAACTGTGGAGGGATCGAAACTAAGAATTTTTTAATGAAACCGTGGGAAGTTGGCGCAGGTGTATGTAGTTGTTCCTATTCATAAAGGCACTGTTAGGCAATAGGTTTTGATTCAATCATAACAATCCCGTTATGGCTTGGCATGTTCCAATCTTTATTTCAGCTGGATCTACATCTACTTATGCCGACTTCAACAATCGCCGCAGGTACAAAGGAGCATACGTTTGTTGCCTCTGTATTCTCTTTCATCGAAGGCAACTGGACATTGTTTTTCACATATGACGGGTGTCAAGAAGGAAACGCGCAGACGTTCTTCTCCGACAGTTGCTACGCGAATTTCCAAGAGTTCGTTCCTTATATTTTCTATAATATATACATATATATATATATATATATATATACATACATATATAATGCTTGAATATGAATCTGGCTCGAAGGAAAGCTAGCAACTTTCGAGAGTTGAAAAAGACAAAAAAAAAACCTGAAATACGGATCATTTCAGGTTCCGGAAGAACCTCCGAGAGATAAGTAAGAAAACAATACCGATCGGCAAACAGTCATGCACACCGCAGTTGTTTGCTCCCCCACATAGAAGTCATACCGCCATAAAGGAGGTTCCTGTAGTAGGGTTCACAGTGAAGATACAAATTGACTTCCAAGGACAAACTTTTTCAGTAGAAGTTTGCGAAGATCAGAACTGGGGGTCTTGCACGCCATTCTGGACAAAGGAACAGGTCCGTAGTACTCTCCGATAATTTTTCCGATATCAAAATTAGGCTTAAGATTATTCTATAAAACAGCGAGGAAAAGCATGTTGATTAAAGAATAAGTAGCTCGAACAAAACTAATTTGTGCGTCACGCGTGCGTGTTATTATTTGCTTTGCCACAGGTGCGCTTTGTTGAGTCACCTAAATACGGTGCGCTGGACCTCATATTCCACAATGGATGGAACACCCCAGCTCGGGTCGGAAACAAGTTTTCGATTGATCAATACACTAACGTAACCGAAGTGTGCAAACTGTATAGACCATAAGTTTGGTCGATGCCGTCCGTGGTACTTGGATGGATAGAGTTGTCGATTGGCTCGAAATTGGATCGGCAGATGTCAGCGACACCATGACGTTACCACAGGAATCCTGTCTTAAAGGGATCTTGACGACGAAAAGTCCTGGAAAAGCTGTTCAGCTTTACCTGGTTACTTTTGATTTGACTAGTGCGCTGCCGATCTTCAAGTATTTTTTATGTAACTCACGTTCCTTTGCTGTCCAGTTCTACCCCCATGTGACGATTTCCCTTCTTCAATCGTTCGATTGCTACACGCAACTTCCCCACAATCATTTTCGACCTCCATCGTTATCCCCCGCTAGAAACCCCGATGTCGGGGGTTGGCGATGCCGTTGGAGTCTCTTATGTTTCTTGATAGATCTAACTAAAATGGATTCGGCTTTAGCGCCCACCCAGCGTAAAGATTGGACGTTTATTTAAAGCAAAAAGATAGCAATACAGAAAATAGACCCTTAGTATGCAGATATCGGTTGGACGAAGTAGAGCTGTATTTCTTTCTTTTTTTGCCATTTGATCAGACGAGTGACCAAATCAATGTATATTATAGGGACCATGGCATATACATATGATATCATAAGTTGGGAAAGTTTTTACAAGACGTTAGACATTTTTATACATATTATAAGTCTCTCTAGGTTTTTTCCGATTTATGGGGTTTACAAACTGGGTACAAAAGGGTTTTGTTGTTAATTTCGTGGACAAATCTTCCCGCAAATATACTTAGAATACACCCTTTACTAGTACAGGGGGCATCATTAGAGGTTACAAGCTGCGGGGATTGCGCAGTTCGTTCGACTGCTCTGAGCGCTCTAGAAAAAACATATTTAGGGTAGTTAAGCTTTACCTCCAAAACAAAGCTTTAATTAGCGTCATTGGACCGGTGAACAAAGCATTAATTAACGTCATTAGACCGGTGAACAAAGCATTAACGTCATTGGACCGGTGAACAAAGCATTAATTAACGTCATTGGACCGGTGAACAAAGCATTAATTAACGTCATTGGACCGGTGAACAAAGCATTAATTAACGTCATTGGACCGGTGAGCAAAGCTTTAATTAACGTCATTGGACTGGCGAGCAAAGCTTTAATATTGGACCGGTGGACAAATCTTCCCGCAGGTATACTTAGACTACACCCTTTACTAGTATAGGGGGCATCACTAGAGCTTACAAGCTGCGGGGATTGCGCAGTTCGTTCGACCTCTCTGAACGCTAAAACATATTTAGGGTAATTAAGCTTCAACTACAAAGCTTTAATTAACGTCATTGGATCGTTGCCTATCATAGTGCTGGCCTCAAATCAATAGCCCTACGCAGCGTCATTCCAATATATCGCATAGGAGTTATTATAAGTTAAGGTGGCAATTCGTTTTTTCGAAGATCTCAGAATAAAATTATATGGGATCTTTCTGTCTTAAATTGCAGATTTCCAAGATAAGAATAAGCATTGCGCCTAAATTATCGAGTAATCGAAGGTTTAGCTGTTCTATTTATTTCAATGGTAGGGGCATATCGGAATATGATGATGATAATTAGTGTTTCTTCAGAGACGCTGATCGGCAAATATAAGCGGATTAATGCGGCCCGTTTTTCCGATGACTAATGTCACTGGGTCAGTCGCGTTGCGAAGTGCTTCTGTAGCAACAGCGTGGGGAACATTTATTAAATCTGTTCCATTTACAGAGTGGAGTTGGTCACCGACCTAAGTAGGAAACAGCAGAAAAAAAAGTCAGTGTTTAACTCACATAATATAAACACTTAATCGAATTATCAGACGTACTCCAACAAATCCAAGTTCCCAATATTGTTAAATACGTAATATAAATATATACATATACGTCGTTTGTTGGCTTGAAGTTAAGGTAAACTTCAAGTTATTATACGTTGTGTAAACACGACAGAAATAGCTGTACGTAATTGGTGCTTGCTACGAGAAACTAAGAGAAGCTAAGAGAAAAAAGTTGTTGCTGTTGTTATTGCGGTACACGAGGCTTCATTAAACTGAGTAAAAATGTTTGGCGGGCTGTTTTTCGTAACCGGTATGCGTTTATATGGTAATAACACTTCACACCTGAATGCCACTTCTTCCTAAAACAAAATAAGCTCATTAATAAAAGTACGACGTTTTAAGAATTTGAGCGTGGAAATATGCTGCGCTAAACAATTTCCCACCAGGATTAAATCTTCATTTTTTTGGTCGAAATCGACGGTCTACCTTATTGCCGGCTTTCACGCAGCTTCTTAAAAATCCGAGGAGGCATAATAGCTCGAAAACCCATTCCTAATGCACCAAAACAACCAATAATTGCTGATGAACACATGGACTGTTTTACTTTTTTAAATCCTTTAAATTCTTTAAATACTTTAAATCCTCTTTAAAAGAGGATTTTTTGGCTTGCTAACGACCCGAAAATTTGAATACGCTGGAATTTTTTTCCATGTCGGGTATTTTACAGACTTTGATTTCATACCTACAAAAATCGCTTGACACGCGCTTGACGTTGTATTGATTAGTAGCGGTTTTTGTCCCGAATTAAAGCTGTGGTTACAGCGGATAATGCTTTTTTAACATGGACATCAACAATCCGCTCTCGAATACGTGCGAAAATATTTATACGAAATACGAAATTTCGTTCGTTTTTGTTCAAGTTCAAATAGTCTCGGAAAGCCTGAGAACATCAAAATTAGTGCCACCGTATATACTAGTGTCTGCTGCCGTGGTGTACTAAGTTTCGTGGTATTATTGGACTGGCTTTCATAAGTTCTTTATTAACAATGAAAAGAATCGACAGCTGCAAGAGGTTAGACGCGACCGGGATATAATATAAAAACCGTAGTCGATAACCGACATGTATGTCTTCAACTAACAACGTAGTCACTGAGAACATAATTGCTGCGACGAAGCCAGTGTCCGACCGGATCTGTAAAGGCCACCGAGCCACGCATTCTGGAGATCGGTCGGCGCTGGAAACACATCAGCTACCGGTAGCTAAAGTGGCCGAAGGAGGCAGGCCCCCAGAAAGCCATTTTTACTGGTAGCGGCGTTATGTCGTAATCCACGTCGTCGCCGCCGGTGATATAGTAAAAAACGGAAGGGCTTCGATATGACGATCTGTTATTGACGGAAGGCGTGACCGGAGATGTGCCGAGCTAGGAGCAGGTAACCATGTACCGTACGAAGTTCTCTGATCGATACCACCAAAACTCCAGAAAGGGGAGGATATCTACTAATACGATGAATGAACGCGATAAAGCGCTGGGACCTTTCGACAACTGCGGCTAGGGCGCTAAAGGGGGCTAGGGGCTAAAGGGCCGTGCAAGCGCCTACTTAGCCACTATATACTGGGTTGTTGAAAATGTTTCGACTATTCTATTTATTAATTTAATAGGTTAGCTATGGAAAGCTTAGATTTGGTAGTAATAGATATGCTAAGATTACAAGAATGCCTCTAGTCAGACTTGCAAGACACAAACGCTACCCAGGTCAATAGAAAAATGCTGTTGGATGGTCATTAACCATACTAACCGTGTAGCCGTGGAAGAAACGGTCCAAAAAATGGATCCTAACCGGATATTTCAACGTGGAAGTTGCTAATCGCAGTGAGCGACCGGAAAAAGTTGAAATTATAGCGAAATTAATTATTGAAGATCGATACGTGAGTGGTCATGGTATTGCCACAGAAGCTAAGCATCTAGCATCGAACAGAAAGCACGATGTTTGGGTGCAGCACGAATTGATGTAAACGAATGTATTCGACCGTGTTTCTATCTGCGAAAATCTACAGGAGCGCAACGATTTATATAACGGATCACATGCGATAATATGCAGCTGGGAAGTGTTACGCAGTATCCGTGCCGAAATCCAGATTGACATCAGGAAAAGTGATGTAATGGGTTTCGTGGGGTTGGAAAATCGTGCATGCGTACGCTGCCATCGTTTGGTAAAATGACTCTTCGGACATGTTTTGTTAACTAACTAACAAGCTCTCAGCCATAGAAATGTGGGACTAGTGACCATTAAGAGTATCCTCTTGCACCATAAGAGCATCAGACTAGATCTTTTATTATCCGGCAAAAGTTGAGTGGACCTGGATGATAAGTCATCCGTCGTACAACTCTGATATTGCGCCATTAAAATGTTTCAGGTTCTCTAGAACTTCAATGAAAGTATTATCTTAATATATCAAAATCACACTTAGTGAGATTATATTTAATAGCCGACGACGAACGGGTGTGAAATAGCTGGCGATATAGCCAAAGTATTGCTAAGACGTCTGTCTGATTGAACGACTGTTCAACGGTTCTGCCCAATTTTTTGATAGCGGCGGGAGTGAGCTCATATCTGACATTTATTGGCCGATGCGGCCCAGTAAACTGCCGGTTTTACTTTATGTGTGGGTACCGTCCGGCTCGACACAGACGCAGGCGCTGACTTCACGGGCTCCCAACTGGTGTGCACCACTAGTCACATCATCAGAGTAATCCAAGTGCACAGAAGACCGCCGGATGCCACAGTATGTTTAAGACAGAGGAATGTAGGCTATAGTACGTACGTACATACGTGTGAGACGCGTGCCAGTTCGCAGCCTCGTGAAAACAGTGTAATCTTGTCTGGCACATGTACAGGAAATCGTGAAGAATCTGCGTGAAGCTGGATTGAGTGGGAGCTTAAGAATATCAGATTTCGGACGACGATATCCCGCCGGCGAAGCTGAGCCGGGGCATAGTAGGTCAAATGCCGTAGCTTAATTGTATCAATGAATACGTGTCTATTGCTATATAAAGGCAGAGCGAGCAGTTGTGAAGCGCTCAGTTGTGTCAGCCAACAACAGAGTTAAGGTCATTCCAACTGATGCTTTTTCCAGTTTGGTCTTTCCGAAGCGTTTCTTTTACCTCGATAGTTCCGCACCGCGATGCCACCGTATTTTCGAACACTTTTTTAATATAGATGCTCGTATCTCCATTTCGAACTTGATTGTTGGAGCCACCTGTCACCGCGAAACCTAAACGATTGCCATTCCTGATTAGCTTCACCTGCGAGATACGGAACAATATGTATAAAATGAATATAACGCGACCATTACGGAGGATTAAACGAATATGGACAGCTGGAAAGGTTGGAAACGTATGGGTCAGTTCGCGTTTATGTCTTATATAGCTAATTAGATCCCAATATCGACTAACAATGAAAGCAAACTACATTAATTTTTGTATTAATGAAAAATAAAATGAAGCAGAAATGATTGGCCGTCATTATCATAAATTCCCGTTCAATACTTTATAATCATACATATTATTAATAAGAGGTCTTCATTAGAAATGAAAAAAACTAATAATTTACAGCTCAGCTATTCAGGTTTTTGCAACTTTGAAAAATTTCATCTGGACATTTACGGCGAACCAACGTGAAATATATAAGTATCTCTCCTTACGAACCTGTACGATGTGAACTTTTCCTATATAGCGGCGCACGGTAATAGCCAGAGAATCGCGTGCTGAAAGCATAACGCGCTTGGCGTCTTCGTGAGAGATACTTTTGAAACCTATTCCATTGGCTGAAATAATTAGATCGCCCACCTGCAGAGGAAAACAATCACAATAGCACGATGAATTGCTGAAGACTTACCCACCTGTCACTTTAAGAGGCACCATAGCGGCCAATCGGCAAGGCAGGTGGGCAACTATCATGGGATGAACGAAAGAACACTTTGACAAATGCAGTAAGCTAGCTAACAAGGAAAGTGTCAACGGTTCGTGATCCTACGCCAGCCAGTTCTTTATTGTTCGGACAAACAATAAGACTTATATACACACACACACACATATGTGTGAGGCTTAATTTAACGCGTTTTTTTTGCGTACACCTACCCTTAATCTACCATCAACAGCCGCAGGACTTCCAGGAGTAACATCCGCGATGTAGACGCCTTGATCGTTCGCACGAATTTCTTGGTCACGACCTGAATTCCAATAAGCGCGCACTACAACTAAACAACTTATGCCTCGCACGGCTTACAACAAGCTACAATACAATATAAATTTTCAGAGCATTTCAACATATCTGTCTAAAGGAAGAAGCCAAGCAATTATACAAAATGACCGCTTATTGATTTTCAATTAATCAAAGCTGTTGGTTTTTCAGACAAGCATAATAAACGTTGTTTACAAGAGGCCATTGAGCACGCAACCTGTGTCACTTATGATTTAAAAACATCAACAAAAACGAAAATATTAAATTTGCCGCTAGAAATTCTTCTGCTTCTGACTAACACAGCTGAAATATGTTCTCGTATATTTATATATATATATATATAGACTGTTCAGTACTGTGAAATGATCTGTTTATCGTCCACGTTGTCGCGGGTAAGAGCTTCTTTGAATAACACATATGATTACGCTGTTCAAATTCTTTGTTATATCTTCGGTACGTTGCCAGCACAACTAAGCCAACACGTCAATCTCGGTTTCACATCAAAACGCAATGTCGTTGGGTCCTCATACGTACAGCTAAATTGGTCAGCAGAAATTTATCTATTGTTATAGGTAAAGCTCCTCTAGAGTGTATCAACAGCGTTGTACTGATCAGTACAACGATATTTGTGCTATTTACTACTAAGTGTGCTTGGTAGACGCCATAACGGTGTTGTGTGGAAAATCCTATCTATGAATCTTCCGCGTTTGTCCATCAAATGCCTAGCATGTAAAGCTCTATTGATCTTCGGTAAACGACGTTTTAAGGAGGTTGTCGGTCACGTTCTACGCTTGTGTACACGACTTGCTACAAGTGCTCTCGCCTGGCCCGAGTCTCTGACATAGATGAAAAAAATACCGTTCTTTCTAAACCGACAACAGAATAGGCAATGCTGCGGCGGGTAACGTTGAGACGCCTACTACGCCCATCTATTGTCTGTTTGAATTAAAACACTTCCTATGAGAAGAATATCTAGGGGATGGGTGTTAGGAATATGTCTATTTAGATTTTGACGAATGCGTACCGCCAAGAATGACGAGTCCAAAACCTTTCTCGTCAAGTCGCCGAATCAAAACATTTTCTTGCTGCCAGTCTTTCTTCTCGTCGCGTTCACGGCGGTTCAGTAGAAAGTTCTCCCGGGACTGAAGTTAATAAAAAATAATCTTAACTTTTTTAACTATTAAGAAATTTCATATAGATACGTTTACAACGCACAGGTGCCGAAAACAACAATTAAAATAATGTCTAGATTACTCTGCGCCTGTGAAACGACGCCTTACGCGATCATATGTAAATAACATTTGTACGTGTTGTAGAACAGCTAAAATATAAAACCTAAATGAAAACTTTATGGGTATAAAATATCTACTGAACTTCACATCGACTTCGGTACGAGCTATAACTTATTTATTTAGGTAGAGTATGTCTCACGTAGCCCCGCTCGTTGCGGTTGAACTCTAGTTATTTTCTTGACCCTGTAACAATTTAATTAATATGAAATTACAACCTACCATCTGTTTGGCTTAGTCAATTTGGGATCTAAGGGTCATTTTGTGTTCTCAGGTCCTGTGTTTTAATATAAAGCTGGGCCGATTAAAATAGGGGCACTAGAAAATCATAATGCGAGTTGACTTCTCGCCTGATATTATTTAATATTATGTTTAATCTTTTGCTAACGCATACCCTGGTGAAATGATGCAAAGCTTTACGGACCGACTGGCGCGGTGTTGAGGTAACCGGCACATCATCCTGTGAGTCTTCCAGATCGTCAATTGGCAGCGCGCCCCTAGGCGCTTCAGGTTTGGAAGTGCGATACAAATCAAGCAAAGCGAGGTTACTTCCGTTTGAGCCCGTGCGCGATGTTCCAATAACTCGAGCTTGTCGAGCGCGAAGACGTTGAAGTGACGACGCTTGACTATCTGTGTCACATTCAGGAAGGCCCGAACTGTTCGCCTGTTTATACAGACTATCACGTTTCTGAATAGCAATTCTGCCACTTCCCGCTTTCAGTTGATTGACAGATGTTTGATAATCGCAATGCTCTCCATATGTCTGTTGATTAACCGTCTCTCCGATTGGAAATGCAGCCGCCGACTTGTAAAGTTCGTTTACCTTAGCGCGCTGTGTCACATTCTGTTCGGAAGTGGCTTTGTCTCGAAGCGGACCATTGTACGGACGAACAGAGCCAGTTCTAGTTTCACTCTCTTGATGGGTCCTATGAAGCTTTTGCTGATTTTCTGCACTATCCGCTAATTGCTTGAACTTACAAAGGGCCTGATTAAACGTCGACATCTTAGGCTGTTGTTCATGTTCAAGTTTTTGTTGTAGCTCCGCGGGGATTTGTTTTTCTGGCCTCACGTATCGGCTACTATTTGTTTCGCTTGATTTCGTCCGACCAGGATTTGGGTAATCATTCTTGTTACGTTCCCAACTTTTAAATGGCTCCTTCCCCAAGGGCCGGTTGTCGACGTACGCCTGTTTGTTGAAGGTGAAGTCGGTTCCGCTGTGTAAATCTGTGAGGTCTTTCTGTGAGTGAGACTTATACCGAGATGTTTCAGTTGCCCGCACTGGGTTCTTTTGGACTATTGCATGCCTTGCGAGATCTACTTCATTTAAGTCCAGTGCGTCATGCGAGACGGCATCTAACCTGGCAGGCCTAATCTCTTTTCCATTTTTGTACTGTTCACCTTGATTAGATAACGGTTTGGTGGTTCGCTTAGGCTCCACCATGCCATTTATTTGGTACCCAACCTCAGTCTGGTCCTGAAGCTGTTTCGCTTGTTGATCGCTTTGTCTGGAACTGGGTCTAAATTGGCTTCCAACGGCCGCAACACGCCAATCGGCATCTCTTCGTCCACGACTTAAGCTCAATGGAACCGAGCCTTCACGTTTTCGAAGCTCCCACTGTTGAACAATTCGGTTATTTGGGTAATCAGTAACATGTGCGCCGTCGCCTGGGTAACTGTTGGTACTTTGTATGCCATACCGCGGGACCGTTGGCAAATTGTTCTGACTGAGATTAGCATGAACTGAATAGTAAGTCGGTTTTGGTGGCTTGTTCAAATTCCATAGCGATTTCCACTCTTGTAAGTTAAAGATACCCATCACGTACTTTCGGCTACGCCTTGCGCCAGGTCTTCGCGCTTTTACACGATGCCGACTTTCTGAATCACTGCCTGCTTACAATGGAACACGTTATTGTTTTTCCTCTTCTATTCCTTCGCCTCTTTAAGCCTTCTGTAGTCGCCCGCCACTGCCACTTAAGAGCCTTAACTTGTATGATTACGCGACGGTAAGAATGCCTTTTAAGAAACAGTAAGGACCTATTACTGGCGAAAACCTTCACTGGGTACTCGAGTAAAGCAGTAATTCTGGCAAAACTACTGGCATCAAAGCTGTGAGCTCTCAAGCACGGCCACTTGAAATAGAAACTGGTAGGCACGTCTGATGAAGTGCAGTCCTCGATGGCTGTTCTCCTTAACGGTAGAACGGGCACAGTAGTCAATTTATGAAGAACAAGCAAATGCGATGAAGCGCCCTGATATGAACGAAACAGATTCAATCGTCCATAGCGAAATGGAGATAATAGCACGAAATTATATCTTAACAAAAAACAAGACAAGGCGTTGCCAATGTCAACAAGTTAATGGAAGTGATCGTTATCGAGGTAGCTTTGCCCAAGCTTTTGGTATGCAGTTAACCGCACTTTCCCCTCGGCGCTGTTCAAAACAGCGCCCTACGTAGCAATCGGCGCGTGACTACCACGCTATCGGCAACAGTGATTGCAGCTAAATACGATGGCTGGCCGAATCGTAACGAGTGGCTTCGGCTGTTCGTCGTATAGGAGAAAAGGGGGCGGTAGAAGAAAAGGTATATACACAGCCAGTCCGTCAGTTAGTCGTTTGTTGCTTAGTGGTCCAGCGATTTGACATTATCCGAATTCGTGGTGAAGCTGTTGCCAACGCCCGCTACGGCGATCGACGCTGGCCAGTCGCTTCGTTAATTGTGATCTCACAAGCTAAAGTATATACTCTGCCAGCAAGAACTGTTGACGACGAACGCTAGCGGCACTGCGTACACGAGTAGACACGCTCGTTCACGGTGCGCACGAGTATGCAGTCATTGAAAATGTCTAACGCAACAGAAGTCACCGTTGTTAAGCGAACGTTTAAAGGAGCGGGAGAAGGCGTGAGCGGCTGGTGGAATTAATAGAGGAGGGAGCGCTGCTGGAAGCAGCAGACGGGGCTCATAAATACGCTCGCGTCTACACAAGACGTCGCAGTAGACACGTTACGGTTATACACACCCTCGTAAAGTGCTGCGCGTTGAACTACTCTTCTTTCGTTGACGATGACCACGATACGCAAGCACAGTGCGAACGGTTGCTTGCTCGCTCGCTCGCTTGAGGGTAGAGGTATCGACAGCGCGAGAATTCTGCTTTGTTCCTAATGAGAACGATAACAACAGTTTAAACATTACTACCGGGAATGAACAATCCGGCTAACGGGTGTGTCTCTAAGTTAGTCAGTCACTCAGTCAGTGACCGGCTTGCCAATGCTCGCCCTCTATCTTGAGCGAGGCTGTTAAACATCCAGAGCCACAGACTAACAAAGGAATGGATCTAGCAAACGAGGCCGAATGAATCCTTTCCCAACTTGACGCATACGCCGCCTACCTTACGAATAGTGCCATTCTAGGCTAAACTATATGCGCTAGGCTGACACAGACCGGGCCAGCGCGATTTGCAAGCGCGGTTGCAGAACTCCTTAACGCTCAGAGCGTACTAGCGAGTAACTGGCCAGACACAGATAAACTGGCAAAAACAAGTAGACAGGAAAGTTTATACAGCTCGTACTCGTTGCTACTATTGTTGGCCATTGATCGTTAATTCAATTCGACTCACCGCTCGCAGAGCAAATATCCTCGTAGTGGTAACAAATGGTCGTAGCGGCAGCAACAGCAGCACTTACACAACACAGCAGGATTAAGCTTTACTGTGAGCCTTATAAACGGTCTTTTCCGGCAATAGTTTTGCCGATTCCGCTTAGCATTACTATTATGTCTATTGAAATTTTCGGGTGAACGCCAGCAAACACCTAGCGGTGGAGGTGTTTCTGCAAGCAACAGCCACGGAAGGTTCACGCTGCAAGCGACTCGCTACTGAGACGCCTGTCTGGCCGCATTTGTCATTGATGTTCACTTCCGTGTTATTGTTAGTACTATTTTGCTTGCCAGTGCAACAGAAACTGATGAAACTGACCGTCGTAGCTTAGCGTTAAGAGGGATTAAAAAGAAAGCAGCGTTTTTAATTGGGGGACGGACGAGATGGATAGCCCAGTTTGTACTTGAACAAACTATTACAGCTGAGAGGGACGAATAATGAGGTAGGCGATCGCCTTATACGCGGTCTTGATTCGTTTCAGGTTTTCTATTTACGACAACGTTAGGTGATGGACCTAATTCGGGTCTGTCTCACCCTATTTTTTTGTGCCTCGTCTTCGCGTCATGCTTTATAGCACGACCTTTCGCTTGTCATCTTCCTAAACTTTGATATTCATTAACAAAGTGGCCATCAAATAAATTAAATATATTTCTAAATTAAAGCACTTTAAAAAGTAGCTTTTCAAGTGCCTATGTATCGAAGGCTATAACAACGTTTTCTATCAGGGCCATTTCAAAGAATGGGTCGCAAAGATTTTACTGAGCAGTAATACTGGAATTGGCCTAATTGTGAAACAATAGTTTTTTCGCTCTAATTTAGAGAAAAAAAAACAACTATAGTTTCATAATTGAGTCTTTTCCAGCAGCAGTCCTTAGTAAGGCCTTTGCGACGACGTCTAAAATGGTGCTGATAAAGTTTACTTCTGGTCCGTTTTTCCCTAAAACCGAACCGCAAACCGAACGTAACCAGGTGGCAGTTGAGTCATCTAACGCGTTACTCGGCGGCGTCTATTAGGTACCGTCTCATCTCTCTCAGATAAATGCTTACCTGTGTAGCTGCATAGTAATTCTAACGATCTTTAGGCAGATTTGTGATAATATTTTTGCACTATGTTCTTTCCACACTCTCAGCAGCTTCAATTATATTATAGACGGCTATCGGATTCAGCGGAGTCAGAAATGCTTGTATCGTAACCCGTTTGAGAAGAAGTGAGAACTTTTTCTCGCCGTCGATAGTAATGGGCTAGGAATGCAAAAGGACTAATATGCATCGCGTATTGATCTTTTGTAGGTAGCTAAACTAGCTGGGACAGCACTATCCAGGCCGAGTTTGACTTCAGCTGATTCCCCCTTCATGAACTGATTATCTGATACAAGTCTAGCGCAAATCATAAACAGTACCTGAGAATATGAAAGTAAAAAAAAAAACAAAATCGTTGAGGGTAGATGCTCGTAAGAAATTTCATTACTTGCATTTCCGGAAAACGCGTTTCTTATTATAGAGTAATCCGCCTAATTTCCTGAAATTTTCATTGGTCTTGCATCTAGCATGCGAGATGCACCGATGTCCGCATCAGAATATAACATTTATTAGATACACAGTCGACACCTTGCTATTTCCCCATGTGAATCCTACATGAAAGCATGGGTTGCATAATATTACTGTATGGTACGGGTTTCGATTTGTCATAGCCGGCGGTCCTTTACTTTGGATTACTTTATTTCTTTTTCAACTTATTAGATTTATATACGTATATATATTCTATTATTTATTATTTTATATTATATAAACTATCATTTGAGGCAAAAGTCAGCTATAGGATTCCTAGTATTACAACTTGTCACAACTTCTATCAGAGGCAACGTTTGCCTAGTGAGCACCCATTACGTAACATAATACGCTACCATTAAAAGACGAGATCGGATCATTTCTGAACGGATCTACGCCGAAGGTCATACACGATCGATGGCAATGTTCTTAAGACATATCTCATGTCATTTAGTTCTCGTATATGTCTATCTACAACTTCTACCAATTTACATCCAAAAGAATCTGTATAAAGCTACGAATCGATGTTAGCTTTGAAAAGAATCAGACAGAGTTATCGAAACGTCTCGTGAACTGTGCCGCAAGACGCAGGGCAACTAAAAAAGAGCAACGGGGCAAAAAGCCACTTATTGCACTAAACACTAAGAAACCATAATTTGACCAGCGAGTTGGTAGGTGGCGCTTAAATGATTATAACCCTAATAATACCAGTAGCTTGCCGCATCCAAATATCTTGGAACGAATCTCCTGTAACAGCTAGTGATGTTCTTAGGATCGACATTAACGCAATGCCTTAAAATCGACATTTTATGACGGAGGCAGGTAATTAATATCAAGTAATTTAAAGAATATAGTATTTTACATGAAAATTGCCGCTGATGATGTCTGTTCACCGGTTTTTGATGTCAGCCTATTTGACATCGGCTAGCGACTCACACAAGTGCGCGTGCGTTTAGTCGATGCGCCGATGATTGACTTCAAAAATGAATTCAGATATACCATATGGATAAAGTTGTAGTTTTGTACAGGAATGGCACAGTTCGGGATATCCAGGATATCAAAGATATCTGCTAGTCTTCGACAAAAGCATGAACAGAAAACGATCCGAAATAGTAATAACTGGGTAATGTTATAAACAGGTAAATGAGTGTATTCCTGAATTTTTGTTGCAAAAAGACTGCAGGGGCTAAATGTAAAGAAGTGATGCGCAACTGGAATAGTAGGCGCCCTTCACTGAACGCAGGATTCCAAGGTAAGGAACCTAAAGCCACTGGCTGACGGTGCTATATCGTCATAATCCCGAAGGTTAAGCTTGCATAGATTTTTATGTAGGAGTAAAATTCAGAACAACCCTATATTCAAATTGGAGAAGGCTCTTTTGTCTGACGGACGTCTAACTCTTTCCAATTCTTTCTAAGGCACCTCACCGAAGCAACACTATTTTGAACAGTTTAGGCAAAGTGGCACAATGACTATTAAAAGCTAAAGGATACTTTGAACATCACCTGATAAAAACTCGTACATATGCTATCACCATTATTCCTGTCATGAGACTAATCTCAGTTTGTAGCAATAGTCTAGTCTATTGCAGCGGCCAATGATCGAACCCTAGGCGTGATCATTATTTGAGCGAGGTACACGGAACTATTTAGAAATCTTATACCTCTTATTTGACATTTTACTGCTGCAGACTGCTGTAAGTCTAAAAGGAACAAACTTAACTTAGAATAAGTAATTAAACACTTGGTGAAGCTCTGTATTTATTGAGGTTCATACTGCGGATTAGCATTATTGATAATTACTTAATAATGTGAAAAAATTCTGAATAAAATAGACATCCTGCTTAATTGTTACTAATTGTGTAGTATTTAGTATTCGAAACACTAATGCCCCACCTAGGGCGAAGCCTTCTCCGATTGCGCGATAGCCCGACGACGCACTGCAGAGGAAAGGATACAATTATCTTCTATTGACTGTCAACACAGATTTTTTAGTAATTATTTTTTATTCTAATCGATTCGTTTCTACGTGGAGAAGACTGATATCAACTATGGCTATCCGAATAAAAGTTGCCCCTCTAAGAGGTAAGCACACTTGTTTTGCTCGTGTTTGAACGGCGAGGACATTTACCTCTAACTTGCTTATTTTTTTATTGTGTTTAACTCTTTCGGTTTCGTCGGTTCCTCGACGACATTCGACCAAGAACTAAATCTCTCCCGAAGAGCCCCTACTGAACCAATTTTAATGCCGTAGGCTGGTTTGGGTTTCGCATAACCACGGGATATTTCTTGGTTCTGTGACATCTCGGCTAATCGTTGAAATTTATTCCTAGCCAGAAAAAACTGTTTCTCTTCGTTTTCAGGATTATTTTCTTGCTCGAATTCAACTTGCTTTGCAGAGTTACCACTCTGATTATTAATCTCTTCGATCGATCTTGCAGGCGCAGCTGAATATCTCTTTTCATTGCTGTTTCGAGCTTTCATCAGATTGTTTGTTAAGTGCCGATAAGCTGGACTCGTCAACTCATCAATAGATACCAAATCACAGTCAGTACGCCTAACATCTCTGTGAGAGCGAGATTTCAACCAGCATGGATCGCCTGAACTAGATAGCGCGGACCCATTTTGCGCTTTCGTCTCAGTGGCTGCGTATAGCCCAGTGGTTTTACGATTCAAACCTGGATAATTATCTAGTCTACGGGAAAGAGAGTGAGGTGGTCCATCGTAGACGAATTTTGTTTCGGGAGCGCGTTCGGGTCCGTTCAGATGAAAGGCCGTTGACTTATTTACCTGACGTTCAACACTCGTTTGTCGAAGTTCCATTGTTCTATTAGACTGGCGTGCATACTGGAGTTGATTTTCTTGGTCCCGTTGATCTGATTTCGCTCTCGAATGAAGAACATTACTTCGTGTAGTTCGCTGATATCTTGGTTGAGTACTTGTATGCCTCTGAGGATGCGAGTCTACCTCGTCAAAGTACGGTCCCGCGTAGTCAGTGTGTTTTGGCTGTCGCACCTTTTCTGGCTTACTCATGTTCCACAACGATTTCCATTCTCGCAAGTTAAATATGTGCATCATGGATGTCTTGCTTTGGGCCGGAGCCTGCCTGCACGATGGAGGTCCTGCGTTATAACTACTGCCTTCTTTAAGGTCACTGCATCCACGTGTCTATCTATAATATCACTGCGATACAACCAGTCTTAAAGCTGATTTCACTGATAATAACACATAAGAACTAAGAGACTATTAGTTCAGCTAGGTGTGACAATTGCCGTGAGCTTTTTTTTTAAAGATAGACAAATTCTGCAATAAATCAACGCAAGAGAGTTCCCGTAGAAGTTTGTAACGAACTTCGCAATTGTTCGTCGTGGTCGTGCAGTGTTGGTCATGTCAATAGATGACCGTAGTCTGAGTGCCAGCGACACCGCCTCAAAGCAATTAAATGGCTTGGATTGGCTCTATGCGGAACCAAAGCTTTGTTTCCTATCGGTGCAGATCATACAAGTGGTCAATGGCCGCCACTGACGATAATCCGCTGGGAGTGCTTGACTCGGTTGACAAAATATATTCGCTCTTACGCCGAATCCCCATTCCTTCCGCTGTGTATGTTCCTGTGCTAGACAATCTATGTTACAAAAGAACTCAGCGACA